GCGGGGGTGCCAGGGTGCGCGAAATGTGCTGGAACAGCTAGCGCTGCAGAAGATGAGCCAGCTGTCGCCGAGGGCCACGGTGTCGCAGGAGAAACCTTAGAGAACGCGCTGGGGAAGGTGCTCGTTCCCGCCGCGGACGGGGTATCGGAGCCTACGCCACCGACAGCTGCTCGTCGCGGGCCTGCTGGTCCGAGAGCGGTGTCCCACGACGAGGGTCGTGTGAATCTACTTGCACTGAAGCTAGACGCGGTCGAGCACGCGTACGAAAACAAACAGAAGGGCAAGTGCGAGGACCTGCCGCTCGAGCACGACGTGCAGTGGGCAGGAGGGGAGCTCGGTCAGGGCTCTTTCGGCAAGGTCTACTTGGGCACGCGACAGGGCGACAAGACTGGCCTTGCGATCGAGATGCTGCGGGACGACCCCAGAGATGCGCAGACGGGGTGCAATGCGGATGCCGTCGGGGGGCTCTGGATGAGGTCATGCGCCACGGTGCTGCGGGCCCGCACCCGCGCCTCGTTCGCTTACTCGACGTGGGCCTTTTTGTCAGGAGGTTGCGCCCAGGAGCTGCAACAGTCCCGAAGAAAGCACACCGAGAACTGCAACAGTCAGTACCAAGGATAGATAGGAACTGGACGGAGCACATCGGCCTCGTGCACGAGTTGTTCGAGATCGATGTCAGCCAATTCCTCAAGAAGTCCTCCTTCACGCAGACAGGGATGCGCCACGTCCTGAACAGCGTTCTCGAAGGGCTCCAGTACATGCACGACAGGGGCCTCATTCACTGCGACATCAAGCCCGCAAACATCCTGATGCGAGGATCGCCGCAGACGCGCGGCTGCTTCGAGAAGCAGGCACTTGTATCACGTGAGCTTGGCGAATGGGATCCCGTCGCGCCGTGCCCAAAGAGCAAGCTGCAGTCCGACTGGCAGATCCCGGGTTCCTTCGAGGCGCTCGTCGTCGACGTCGTCGTCGCCGTCGTCGTCGCCGTCGTCGTCGTCGTCCTCCTCTTCCTCGTCCTCCTCGTCCTCGTCGTCCTCGTCGTCCTCGCCGTCCTCGTCGTCCTCGTCGTCCTCGTCGTCGTCCTCCTCGTCCTCGTCGTCGTCGTCCTCGTCGTCCTCGTCATCCTCGTCATCCTCGTCGTCCTCGTCGTCCTCCTCCTCGTCCTCGTCGTCGTCGTCCTCGTCGTCCTCGTCATCGTCGTCATCCTCGTCATCCTCGTCGTCGTCGTCATCCTCGTCATCATCGTCGTTCCTTCGACTAAGATCCCGAGTGGCCAGGGCTCACATGGAGCTCTAACATAATATGTTAGAGCTCCCTGGAGCTCCCTGGGAGCTCTAACGTGGTATCACGTGCCATGTTAGAGCTCCCTGGGAGCTCTAACATGGTATCACGTGCCATGTTAGAGCTCCCTGGGAGCTCTAACATACTATGTTAGAGCTCCCCTCTCCTCCATCCGCCCCTCTCCGCAGGTGGTGCTCGCCGACTTCGGCTGTGTGCAGATGGCGGATCCCCACGGCAGGTTGAAGAGGAAACTGCGCTACAGCCCGACCTGCGATGACCTCAGGGCACGCGCGCCCGCTTACAGAGCGGTAGACGTTTTCTTGGGGAACCAGCGCTACTCAGAGGACCTGGACATGTGGTCCATCGGGTGCCTGATGGCGGAGTTGCACACGCGCAAGGTGTTGTTCCAACCACCAGAGCCTTGCGGCGCGCTCGGGCATCCTCCAGGGGGGCACCCGAAAGACCTCGTGGTTTTCTGCAGGGAGGTTTTGGGGATCCCAGGCAAGGAGCCAGGGTCGGGAGACTTCTACAATTACGAGGGCCAGGAACCCGCCCCGTGGCTGGACAACCTGCTTTTCTTTGAGAAGTGGTTCAAGCGGTCGGGCGAGGATTGGCTAAAGGCTGAAACAGCGAAGGCACTCGACGGCCGAGGACGCTGGCCCGTTGACGAACTTGCAGACTGCCCCCCAGACTTGTTGAAGGCCGCCGAGAGCTGCCTGCTTTGGCACCCTGGCGCCAGAGCGACAATCAGTAGTCTAAGGGCTCGTCGCTTCTTGCAGCCGGCTGGCGCCCAGCTCGTCGCGCGCATCTCCATGGCGCAGGGAAAACGGCGCGGGCGCGATGGCGGAGGCGGAGCTGGACCCAGACTTGCCCCGCTTCTTGCAGAGAGACCCGCGCTGGCAGAACTTGGCCGAGGAGCGCCTGGACACGGGGGCAACCGTCTCCAAATGCGTCCGAGGCGACGAGGCGGCAAAGGGCTTGAAAACAGAGGTCGCAGGCATCGTGGACGACGAAAGCCCCCCGAAGTGCCGCAGCCTCAACAAGGGCGGGAATTTGCAGATCACCCCCTCGCCCCACATGGCCGCCTTCGTGCGAGCGCTGCGGAGGAAGATGCGCCCGTGGCTGCAAAAGCTGGGAGACAAAATGCGCGAGGCTGTCAAAGCCGACGGCATGCCATCTGCCATCGCCGAGCAGAACGGAAAGCCCATCATGACAGAGCACTTCGCCGACAACGCGTTCGCGTACGCATCGATCCAGCTCATGCAACCAGGCGCACGGGACGATGGTTGGCACACAGATGGCGGATGCTCCCTGTTGCACGCGGCCGTGACGATTTTCGGGACGCGCTCCGTGCAAGTGAGGATCCCAGGGGTCCTGGGAGCACATGATGGGGCGTCACCCTCGAGCACAGCCTCCTGCGGAAGGGTCGTCACCCTCGAGCAGAAGCCTGGGTCCTTCAACGTGGGCACCCTGTCCTCCCTCGAGCGCAACGTGCATCGCCACGCCTCCGCGGACTGCCAGGACTGTCTCGCGGCCCACCACGAGCTGCAACAGCGCGTAGACGACAGCAGGCTGCAGATCGCCGTCATGATCCGCTCCGACGTCTTTCGGGAGTTCAGGGCGCGCAGGATCGACGCCACGCCTGGCCCGAAGGAGTTCTTCAACGTCGTGAACCACGTCGTGGCCGATCACCTGGCGCGGGTCCCCGTGGCGCTGCCCGACCTCACGGAGGTGCTTGACGAAATGCGGTGGCCCGACCTCACGGAGGTGCTTGACGAAATGGGGCTTTCCGATTAGTACTCAGCACGGCCCGCGCAGTCCGAAATCATCATCTTCATCGCCATCATCATCGCAATCATCGGCTTCATCATCATCGTCATCCTAATCATCATCAGCATCAACATGTTCACGCCGCCATCATCGTCATGCGGGTCTTGATTTAATCACCATCATCATCATCATCATCATCATCATCATCATCATCATCATCATCATCACTACGTGATGATGGCGATGACGAGGAGATGATGATGGATATTATGATGGTGACGATGATGAGGAGATGGTGATGATGATGGCGATGGCGCGGGCGATGCTGAATATCATGACGACGATGATGACGATGATGTTGAAAATGATGCAAAAACAGGTTGAGTCGGTTGAGTCCGAAAACTTCGCCTTAAATCAAGCCAGTCAAAGATGCTCCTCGATGGTCCTCGCCGAAGGAAAAATGCACACGTCCGAGCGATGCCAAGCAGGCGGTGGATCTGGATATGTTCGGGCCCGCGGGAGGGCCAGGTGCGTCCACATCCATACCCACCGCCCGCTGGGGTGGACGTGGACAAATCCCCGCCTTTGCACAACCGTGCACCCGGTGCCGTTGTGGCCACTGCGCGCACCGGCCCTGGAGCGCTGCCGCGCTCGAGGGCCTGCGCCCTGGGGCGCCCGACACCCCCAGGGGGGCCCTTGGCATCGCTCGGACGTGTGTTTTTTTCCTTCGGCGAGGAGCATCGAGGAGCATCCTTGATCATTTGACGGAAGAGCCACGCACGAAACCTAAAAAAACACAGGGAATGGACGTCCGAGCGATGGCGAGGGGGGGGGGGGCGGGGTTCTCTTTGCCGGGGCGCGCTTGGCGCGGCAGAGCATCGCGGCCACGGCAGGCAGTGGCAGCGCAACGGCTCTCGGAGGAGGAAGAGGTGCCCATACCTCTACCCCTCCCTCGCTTTTCCCTTTTCGGGGGGCCTCCTGGGCGGCCCCCGTCGCCACCGCTGGGTTCGCCTCGAGATGCTTGTCAGGACGCGCCCCGGGACAGGTCCAGGGAGTGGCTGTCTCGGTACCTCCTGGTTTCCCCAGGTTCGCCCTCGCTCTCTTTTAGCCCACCGTTTGCCCAGGCTTGGTGGGCCAAGGCTCCCTTGCAGTTTTGCTGATTCGAAGTCTTCGACCCTCATCGATTGGGGTTTGGGGCCTCCATCTCCCTCAGGACCCCTTTTGTGACCCAGGGCTGGACCTAAACGGTGTTTCGGCGATTTCGTGGGCCGTCTTCGTTCCGATCTCGTTCTGCGTCAGAGGCGAATCGAAGAGACAGAACGAGGGAAAACCAAAGCAAAACGAGAACGGCAAACGCCGCTTAGGTTCAGCCCTGTTGTGCCGATGTATCGCCGATGTATCGCCGATCTACCGACGATCGGGGGTCTATCGCCGATCTGTCGGCGATGTATCGCCGATTCCAGGTCGATTCATCCCCCCCTATGTCAATCCCCCCTATCGCTGCCCCCCTTTAGTGCCCCGCGCCTCCCCCCGACAGGCCCGCCCCCTGAGGCGGGCGTCTCCCCACCTGCGCCCGGCAGCCTCGCGGACAAAAATGCGCAGGGCCGCGCCTCGGCGCCTGGCCGCCCCGCCACTCGGGGGGGCGAATGTCGCCTTGCCGTTTTGCTTGTTTGAGATCCTCGACCATCATCGATCCTCCTCCTCCTCCTCGTCCTCCTCCTCCTCCTCGTCCTCCTCCTGCTCCTCCTCGTCCTCCTCCTCCTCCTCCGCCTCCGCCTCCTCCTCCTCCGCCTCCTCCTCCTCCTCCTCCGCCTCCGCCCCCGCCTCCTCTTCGTCCTCCTCCTCCTCCTGCTCCTCCTATTCCTCCTCGCCGTCCTCCGCCTCCATTGGGGGCCTCCGGCTCCCTCAGGACCCCTTCTGTGAGCCGCCCACCGCGCCCGCACGCCGAGGAGGGCTCCTTCCCACCCGCGCCCGACGGCCTCGAGGAGAACGCGCAGGCGTGCCCCGCGGGCGCCTGGCCGCCCCGCCGCACGCCTGGGCCGCCGCCCGATCTCCGAGACGACCACACGACGAGGGCGTCCGAGATCTCCGACGATTCCTCTCGCTTCGCGGGGTGCGCGTCCGGGAGCACGTGCAGTCCAGACGTTGTGGGGCCTGGTGGGAGCTGCTTTGGGGCCTCTTGGTGTCCCTTGGGGCCTCTGGGTGTCCCTGGGTGGGCTTCTCGGGGCCTCTTGGGGGCTTCGTTGGGGGCTCCTTTGGGGCCTCTTGGGGGCGTCTTGGGCAGTCTTGGGGCGCTCTTGCGCCGCTTGGCTCCTTCGGAGGCCACCCTGCGGGCCTCGCGCGGCCGCCTCAGGGCTCTCTTGGGGTCTTCTTGGACCATCTTGGGGGCCTCTTGGACCGTCCTGGGGGCCTCTTTGAGCCGTCTTGGGGTCCTCCTGGGGGCCTCTGGGGCCGTCCTGGGGCTATTTTGGAGGCTGACTTCTAAGGATAGAAAAAGAGGAGAACGAAAATCCATAAAAAGACCAAAGGAAAAAGTCAATGATTTTGGCCTCTGGAGTCGCTCGCGGGGGTCCTCTTGGGGCCCTCTGGGGCCTTCTTGGCGCTTTGGGGGCCTTCTTGGGGCCATCTTGGACCGTCTTGGGGTCGTCTTGGTCCGCCTTGAGGCCATCTTGAACCGTCTTGACGCACTCTTGGACCCCCAAGAGGTCCCAGGGGCCCAAATCATATGTAGACGTCCCATAGGTTTTTGCACGTTGTTAATTCGGCTCCAGAAGGGGGGGCACCTTGGTCGGCGGATGTGGCGTGGCCCCTGGGGGGGTCAGGGTAGGAGACATAAGAGTGAATCATAATACAGCGTGTACAAAATATGCCATCATTGGATACATGGGATACGTTGCATTCCAGCATCCGCGGACCTGCTTCCGGCAACACGTCACTTCCGGACGTGGATTCCTCTCGCTTCGCGGGGTGCACGTCCGGAGCACGTACAGTCCAGTCGTTGTCGGGCCTTTGGGAATTTCTTGGGGGCCCCTTGGAGGCCTCTTTGGAACCTCTTGGGTCCTCGCGGGGGCGTCTGGGAGGCCTCTTGGGGGCCTCTGGGAGGCCTCTGGGGGACTTCTTGGGGCTCCGTGTGGGCGTCTTGGAGGCGCTCTTGCGCTGTCTGGTCCCTCTCGGAGGCTGTCTTGGGGTACTCTTGGGCCGTCTTGGGGGCCTCTGTGGGCTGTCTGGGGGCCCTCTTGGGCCGTTTTGGGGCCCCCTTGAGGGCTTCTTGGGCCGTCTGGGGGCCACTTCGGAGGCTGTTTCAGCTGTCCTGGACCTCTCAGAGTCGAAATAGGCGGGAACGCTGAAATCTTCAAAAACCATTGGGAAATCAATTGTTTTTTGCTTCTGGAGGTGCTCTTGGGGGTCCTCTGGGGGCCGTCTTGGGGCGTCTTGGAGTCTTTGTAGGGCCTCTTGGGGCCATCTTGGGCCGTCTTGGGGCCACCTCGAGCCGTCTTGAGGCCTTGTTGGGCCCCAAGAGGGCCAACAGGCCCAACTCAGTGATTGTCTATAGGTTTTGGTTGGTTTTTGAGGCGCAGGAGGAAGGGGCCACTTTGGGTCGGCGGAAGTGGTGTGGCCCCTGGGGGGGGGGTAGGGGGGTACATAATAATGTAACACAATACAATATGTAGCAATTATGCAATCATTGGATACATTGGATACGTTGCGTTATAGCCTCCGCGAACCTGCCTCCGGCAACACGTCACTTCCGGACGTGGATTCTTCTCGCTTCGCGGGGTGCACGTCCGGAGTACGTACAGTGAAGTCGTTTTGGGGGTTCTCGGGAGTTTCGTGGGGGCGTCTAGGGCCATCTTGGGGGGCTCTTTCGCCGTTTGGCACCATTGGGGGCGGGGCTGGTGGCCATGTCGCGGCAGCTCAGCACGTCATTTCCGGACGTGGAACGCCAAAATCTTCCAAAACCCATGGGAAATCAATAGTTTTTGTTTCAAGAAGCGCTCTTGGAGGTCCTCTTGGCGCCCTCTTGGGGCGTCCGGTTTTTTGAGGGGGCCCTCTTGGGGCCATCCTGCACCGTCTTGGTCACGTCGTCGCGGGGCCTTTTGGGAGCCTCTTGGGGGCCTCCTGGAGGCCTCTTGGGAGCTTCTGTGAGCCTCTTGGGGACGTCTTTGGGGCCTCTCCCCCTTCCCTCCTTTTCATGCTCCCTCCCCATATCCCCTTCCGGCGCCAGCTCTAATCATGGGCGCCGCCGTGACCAACTTCCACCTGGCTGGCGCTGCGCCGCACTTCGCCCAGGGGGGAAACATGACAGTACACTCCAGTCGCTGTGTGGGCTTTGGGGGGCTTCTATGGAGCCTTTTTGGAGATTTCTTGGAGACTTCTTGGAGGCCTTTTGGGGGTTTCTTGGGACCCCTTGGGAGCCTCTTGGGGCCATCTTGGGGCCTCTTGGGGTCGTCCTGGGCCGTCTTGGGGCATTTTTCTGCCGTTTCGCCCCTTCGGAGGCCGTCTTGGGGGCCTTTCGCGGCCGCCTGCCCTCTTAGGGACTTTTTGGGTTGTTCTGGGGCGATTTGGGAAGTTGCTTGGGCCGCAAAGGCGAGAACGCTGAAATACTGCCAAAACCGCAGGAAAATCAATGATTTCGGCCTCTGGAGGCGCAGTTGGGGGCGCTCTTGGGGCCCTCTTCGGCCGTCATTGGGGCTTCTTGGGGCCCCTTGGGAGCCTCTTGGGGGCCTCTTGGGGCCTCTTGGGGTCGTCCTGGGCCGTCTTGGGGCGTTTTTCTGCCGCTTCCCCCCTTGGGAGGCTGCCTTGGGGGGCTCTCGCGGTCGCCTTGGGGCCCTCGTGGGGTCCTCTTGAGCCGTCTTAGGGGCCTCTTGGACCGTCTTGGGTGCCTCTTTTGGCCGTCCTCTTGGGGACTTTTTGGGTTGTTCTGGGGCGATTTGGGAAGTTGCCTGGGCCGCAAAGGCGAGAACGCTGAAATATTGCCAGAACCAGAGGACAATCTATGATTTCGGCCTCTGGAGGCGCAGTTGGGGGCGCTCTTGGGGCCCTCTTGGGTCGTCATTGGAGCCTTTTGGGCCCTCTTTGGCCCATCTTGAGCCGTCTTGGCACCCTCGTGGCCCCCCAAGAGGCCCAAGAGGTCGAAATCATGGATTTTCTATAAGTTTTGGTAGGTTTTTGAGCCCCGGGAGGGGGTGGCCATTTTGGGTCGACGGATGTGGCGTAGCCCCTGGGGGGGTTAGGGGGGAGACGTAATAAGGTAACATAATACCATATGTTGCAAAAGTGCAATATTTGGATACATTGGATACGTTGCATTAAGGCGTTCGCCAGAAAACGCTGCCGCTCAGCACGTCACCTCCGGACGTGGATTCCTTTCGCTTCGCGGGGTGCACGTCCGGAGCACGTACATTCCAGTCGTCGTCGGGCCTCTTGGAATTTCTTGGGGGCCCTTTGGAGGCCTCTTTGGGCCTCTTGGGTCCTCGCGGGGACCTCTGGGAGGACTCTTGGGGGCCTCTGGGACGCCTCTTGGGGGCCTCTCGGAGCCCCGTGTGGGCGTTTTTGGGGCGCTCTTGCGCTGTCTGGTCCCTTTCGGAAACTGTCTTGGGGTACTCTTGGGCCGTCTTGGGGGTTTCTTGGTGCATCTCGGCGGCCTCTGTGGGCTGCGTGGGGGCCCTCTTGGGCAGTTTTGGGGCCCTCTTGAGGGCTTCTTTGGCCATCTGGGGGCCACTTCGGAGGCTGTTTCGGCCGTCCTGGACCTCTGAGAGTCGAGATAGGCGGGAACGCTGAAGTATTCCAGGCAAATCCATGGTTTTGGGCTTTTGGAGGTGCTCTTGGGGGTCCTCTGGGGGGCCTCTTGGGGCGTCTTGGGGTCTTAGTAGGCCCTCTTGGAGCCATCTTGGGCCGTCTTGGGGCCATCTCGAGCCGTCTTGAGGCCCTGTTGGACCCCCAAGAGGGCCAACAGGCCCAACTTGCTGATTTTCCATAGGTTGTGGTTGGATTTTGTAAGTTTTTGAGGCGCAGGAGGGACGGGCCACTTTGGGTCGGCGGAAGTGGTGTGGCCCCTGGGGGGGGGGTTATTAGGGGGGTACACAATTATGTAACACAATACAACATGTAGCAATTATGCAATCATTGGATACATTGGATACGTTGCATCATAGCCTCCGCGGACCTGCTTCCGGCAACACGTCACCTCCGGACGTGGATTTTTTTCGCTTCGCGGGATGCACGTCCGGAGTACGTACAGTGAAGTCGTTTTGGGGGTTCTCGGGAGTTTCGTGGGGGCGTCTTGGGCCGTCTTGGGGGGCTCTTTCGCCGTTTGGCACCATTGGGGGCGGGGCTGGTGGCCATGTCGCGGCCGCTCAGCACGTCATTTCCGGACGTGGAACGCCAAAATCTTTCAAAACCCCATGGGAAGTCAATGATTATTGCTTCTGGAAGCGCTCTTGGAGGTCCTCTTGGCGCCCTCTTGGGGCGTCCGGTTTTTTGGGGGGGCCCTTTTTGGGGCCATCCTGCACCGTCTTGGTCACGTCGTCGCGGGGCCTCTTGGGAGCCTTTTGGGGGCCTCCAGGAGGCCTCTTGGGAGCTTCTTTGAGCCTCTTGGGGGCGTCTTTGAGGCCTCTCCCCACTCCCTCCTTTACATACTCCCTCCCCATATCCCGTTCCAGCGCCAGCTCTAATCATGGGCGCCGCCGTGACCAACTTCCACCTGGCTGGCGCTGCGCCGCACTTCGCCCAGGGGGGAAACATGACAGTACACTCCAGTCGCTGTGTGGGCTTTGGGGGGTTTCTATGGGGCCTTTCGGAGGTTTCTTCGGGACTTTTTGGAGGCCTCTTGGGGGGTTCTTGGGGCCCTTTGGGGGCCTCTTGGGGGCCTCTTGGGGCCTCTTGGGGTCGTCCTGGGCCGTCTTGGGGCATTTTTCTGTTGTTTCGCTCCTTCGGAGCCCGTCTTGGGGGCCTCTCGCGGCCGGCTGCCCTCTTGGGGACTTTTCGGGTTGTTCTGGGGCGACTTGGGAAGTTGCTTGGGCCGGAAAGGCGAGAACGCTGAAATATCGCCAAAACCGCAGGAAAATCAATGATTTCGGCCTCTGGAGGCGCAGTTGGGGGCGCTCTTGGGGCCTTTTTGGGCCGTCATTGGGGCTTTTTGGGCTGGCCCTCTTGGACCCATCTTGAGCCGGGCCGTCTTGGCACCCTCGTGGCCCCCCAAGAGGCCCAAGAGGTCGAAATCATAGTTTTTTCTATAGGTTTGGGTAGGTTTCTGAGCCCCGGGAGGGGGTCTCCATCTTGGGTCCACGGATGTGGCGTAGCCCCTGGGGGGGGGGTTAGGGGGGGAGACATAATAATGTGACGCAATACAATATGTGGCAATTACGCAACAATTGGATACATTGGGTACGTTGCATTATCGCCTCCGCAGAAAACGCTGCCGTTCAGCACGTCACTTCCGGACGTGGATTCTACAGGCTTGCGCCACATCCGCCGACCCCCGTAAGTGTAGATTGTTTCCGATGGTTTTTTTCGAGCGTCCAGGGTGATGGTGATGTGGATGACAGCGAGAGAATGACGCGGGAGAAGGAGGATGATGAGGAGAAGGAGGAGGAGGAAGAGGAGGAGGAGAGAAAGAGAAGGAAGAGACCTTGGTCAGGAACCCATCTCGTCAAATATCGAATGGCCTTCGGTGCATCCGCCACCGTGCGTGGGCGGTGGGTACAAGGCTATTCGGATGGCTGATGGGGTCTCGTTGGAGGTTTCTCGGGGCTTGGATGCAGTTTTTGGGCCTCCTGGGAGCCTCCTGGGGGCCTCTTTGGGGCGTTTTGGAAGCATTTTGGGGCCTAAGGGGGACTTCTTTGGGAATTTCACAGGGCCGAAGGCTGGGAATGTCCGTTCGGGTTTCCTCTCCAGGCCCTCTCTTGGGGCTGGCGTGGGGCCGTCTTTAGCCGTCTTGGGGGCCTCATGGGCCGTCACGGTGCCTTCTTTGGCCGTGTTGGAGCTCTTTTGGGAGCCTTTTGGGCTGTCTTGGGCTAACTTTTGGAGCGTCTTGGCCCGTCTTCGACGCTGCGGTAGCCGAAGACGCGAATTTGCTAAAATTGCACGCTTTCCCAAAGAATGGGACGACGTTTGCTTGGGGCCCCCTTGGGAGGCATCTTGAAAGCGTCTTGGCGCGTATGGAGGACTTCTTGAGTCGTCTTTGGGCCATCTGGGGCGTCTTGGAGTGTTCTTTTGGCGGCTCGGGGCTCTCTACTGAATCGTCTGGGGGGGGCGCCGTGGTGCCCTCTTGACCCACTTTGGGGCCTGATACTAGGGCTCCCAGGAGGGCGCGAAGTTATTCGCGCTTCGCCGTCCTCCTTCCTCCTCCCCCTCCTCCTCGTCCTCCTCTTCTCCCCCTTGGGGGGCGGCGCGAGAGCGCGAAGTTATTCGCGCTTCGCGCAGCGCGAAGCGCGAACTTAGGAGCCCTTGCTGATATCCCCTCATGATGCGTTCGGCCCAGGCTCGGCGGAGGCCCGGTCGATGTTAATTCCCGGTTTGGGGTCCCCAGGGGGTGATTCTGGAAGGGGGAGAATTTCACACGCCTAGAGACCCACAGGGAGCGGATTTGATCCCCTCCTCCTCTCGCTCCTCCTCCATCCTCCCACTCTTGGGGTAAGACGGCCTCCCCAGCATTTTTGTTCCGTTGCATGCTCCGCCGCATCCCTTGTCAGGGCAACTCGCACGGGCATCGTTTCTGAATGGGTTGGTGGGGTTGCACGAATCGTCTAGAGTCAGTCGCTCCTGGGCGACGACGTCTCAGATCCCCCCCTGAGTTTTTCCTCGTTCTCGGCCCACGGGGTCCGTTTGCGGCACCGGGCACCCTCAAAAGTGGACCCCGGGCGCGAAATGCAAGCCCCGGGGAGGAGGTCGGGATTTCCTGGGGCCGCGGAATGCAAGTGGGCATCGTCGGATCCTCCTCCTCCTCCTCCTCCTCCTCCTCCTCCTCCTCCTCCTCCTCCTCCTCCTCCTCCTCCTCCTCCATGGCGGTGTTAAAGATCACCATCCTCACTATTTGTTGGAAATAGGGGGAAAAAGTAGGAAAGAGGTAGAACACTTGCAGGGTCGGCGGCAAGCTGGTCATATGGCTCGGGGGCGCAAATGCGGCGTAACTTACGAGGGATCGTGGCTTGGGGGGGTGAATGTGGATCCCACCGCAGAATTTTCCAGAAACGGGGGAGGGGCAAAGGAATACCAGCGGAACGCATATCCCAATACAGAAAATTACAGTTTTTCTGCATTGGAGAGGGGGAACGCCTTTTCGGCAGCCTCCGCAAGGCGGATTCGTGGCCTCGGGGGCGCGAAAATAAAGTAAATTACATAGGGTCGTGGCTTCGGGTGCGCCAACGTGGCGTAAATTACGAGGCATCGTGGCCTCGAGGGCGCGAATGTGGAGTAAGTCACGGGGGATCGTGGCCTCGGAGACGCAAATGTGGCGTAAATCATGAGGGATCGTGGCCTCGGAGACGCGAATGCGGTGTCATTTACAAGGGATCGTGGCCTCGGGGGCGCGAATACAGCATAATTTGTAAGGGATTATGGCTCGGGGCCACGAAACTCATGTATTTCTATGTGTCCCACGCCCCCCCAGAAATTCTGAGAACCCTCCCGGGGGATGCTAACCAGGGTGGGTTTCGGCTCCCCCCCCTCGCGCGGACAGTAACAATTTACAGTAGGAAGCAGAAGGCAGTATTGTAACAAAAACTGGAAACTGGAACTGGCGCAGGGAGCAGCAAGCTTAACCCTCGCAGCCTGATGGCCCCGCAAGGGGGCTGGCGGATTTTCGGACCACTATCCACAATTGGATACCAACTACTAAGCTACGTACTATCTATTAACTCCTAACTACGAGCTGCTAGCTACGAACTGCTACCAACTTAGTCGCCACATGTAGTTGAGTACTACTACCCAGAAGAGTTACTGACTTCCCCGGGCAAAAGAAGCCAGACTGATGGGAAATCGATGTGGCGCCTTAAGCGCAGCTCGTTGCGATTTGCGAAAGTCAGTCTTGACAGAAGTGTGAGGATCCTCGATGAGGTCTCACCCGGAGAACTAGCCCTTTGCCGAAGGATCCCCAGGAATCTACAAGGATTCGGTAGTTCACCCGGAGAAGTAACCCTTTTCCCGGAGAAAGAGCCCTTCGCCGCTCTGGGGCCTCTTGGGAACCTCATGGGGCCCAAGAGGGGCTGTCTTGGGGCTCCTCTTGTGAGCCCTGGAGAGCCTCTTGGGGCCGTCTTTGCGACCATCGACCAAACGAGGGAGGGTCTCAATTTTGCCCCCCCCCTCCGGGGCCATCAAAATCGCCCCTTGGGGCCCTCTTGGGGCGCTCTTGGGGCGATCTTGGGCGCTCTTGGGGCCGTCTTGGGGGCCTCTTGAACCCCCGTTGGAGCTTGGGGCCATGTTGAGGCATCGGAAGCGAAAAGGCGAGAAGGCAAACATCATTGATGTTCCCGAGGTTTTTGCAGGATTTTGGCTTCTCGGGGAGGTCCTAAATGGTTTCCAAAAGCATTTGGATCCGTCTTGTGGCCCTCTTGGGGCTTCCTGAAGGCATGTCAGAAGCTGTCTTGAACCATGTTTGGCTATGATGAGCGATCTTCGAGGCCATCCTGGGCTTTCTGAGGCCCTTTTGGAACCATCTTGGGCCATTTCGGGCGCTCCAGCTTCTCGCGAACCCCCCCGTGCAGGTCCAGGGGAGGGGGTAGGGGGAGGGGTCAAGTTACCCCCTCCCCGCCCGCAAGCCGTCTCGCTCACTCCCACCCGCCCTCCCAACACATACGTAGCACCCGAGTCTGGCCCGAGCCTCAGCATATTCAGCAGTCGTCTTGGGATGGGGAGCTACTGGGGGCCAATCCGCCGCCGCCGCCGCTGCCTCCGCCGCCGCCGCCGCCGCCGCCGCCGCCGCCGCCGCCGCCTCCCGCTGCCAAACCGCCGCTGCCGCCACCGCCGCCGCCGCCGCAGCCGCAGCCGCAGCCGCCGCCGCCGCCGCCGCCGCCGCCGCCGCCGCAGCCGCCGCCGCCGCCGCCAAGTGTACTCTGTATTGTTTTTTGACAGGGATGGTGGTGGGGGGGGGGGGGGCGCGTCGGGTTGGCTGCGCAGGTTCCGAATTTGGAGGCAGAGTGTGTTTTGTATTGTTTATTACAAGGGATGGCGGGGGGGGGTGTTGGCATGGACTCGGGTTGGCCCCCAGTCGCCTGGGGGAGGGGGTGTTTATTAATAGGGAACAGTGATAAGCCCCTCCCCGAAGGGGAAAGGGGGTTTTGGAAGAGGAAGACATATCGTTAGACCACCTGGGATTAGTTTGCTTCCCCCAGTGGGGATCGCGCGCACCGCAGAGGCGCCCAGGGAGGGGTGCCGTCGCCGCAGCAGCCACCGCCGTCGCCGCCGCGGCGCCACGCACCCGACAACTTTTGATAGTTTTCCGTGCGCGGCCGCAGGAGCTCCCGCGACCCCTCCCCCGGGAGCAGGCTTCCGCCCCGAAGCCATTGCTGCTGGCCCCAGGGCCTGACGGCTGGTCTCAGCTGAACGCCCGGCTTGAAAAGCTACATCGTGGGAGATCTGGAGCCGTCGCAGTCGCCGTCGCAGTCGCCGCCCCCGCGGCGGTCGCCGCCGTCGCTGGCGCCGAGCCGCCGCAGGCGCCGAGCGCGGGGCGCTGGCGAGAGGCCGCCGCCGCTGCGGAGGCGCTGGACAGGTCTGGCGAAGCGCTGGACCGGTCCGGCGCCGCCGCGGGCAGCGTGGCGGCCGCGCTGTTGCGGCGCTCTGTCGGAGGAGGCTGGCTGCCGCTGCCTGCTGCGGCCGCCGCCCCCGTCGGGCCCCTGTCGCTGTCGCTGTGTTCGGAAGTCCCGGAGCCGTGCGGTGAAGTCTGCGTCGGGTTTAGATCGGTTGCCGTGTCTGGGCCTCCCGCGGTGTGACTCTTCGGTCCCAGCGGTTTTCTTCGATTTCGGTCCTTGTGGCCCGCTCTCGGGTCTGGGGACGGGTCTGGACCTCTGGGGCCGTGGATTGAGAATTTCATGTGGGCGGCAGAAGACCCTAAGTATCATAAAGAATAAGGAGAGCCTCATCTTCTACTATACTCATGGTGGGAGACAATGGGACACGAGCGCCGATGCAGGATCCGGAGGAGCTCACATGTGCTTTAGAAGAGTGGTGTAGAGCCCGTGCGGTCAAGTTGGTCAGGGATAGTCAAATCGTCGGATGTCTGGGATTCGGGGTGACCGCACGGTTTTTGGGACTCGGGTCGTTCTCCGAGGACGCTTCGGGCTATTCGGGCTTCGAGATACCCAGAACGGTGCGGCGACGGACGGTGCGGTGAGGTCCTCCCCCACCCATTCCTGCGGCCACTGCCGCCGCTGCTGCTAGTCGGCGTCGGTCGTTGTCGGTCGTTGGCATGTCAGCGTCGTCGTCCTCTCTCCGTTTCAGTTTTGCTCCATCGCCTCGTTTTGCTCGTTGCCTCAGACCACGCTGCCCGCCCTCAGCCCTCCTCCTTGTCATCCTTTCCCGTTCGCCCTTCGTCAGGGACTGACCAGCAGGGCCTCTTCCCGACCAGCACCGCGACGGCAGGCACCAGCTTGGTCCTGACTCCCACGAGTGAGACGAGCAGTGTGACGAGTGCGAGTAGACTGCAAATCGCAAACGAATGCCCAGCACCAGAGCAGGCTGGTCCAGACCGAGGACGGCCTGGCCTAAACCAGAATGACCTGGACCAAACCAGGAACAGTTTGGGCCCGGAAGAGGCTGATCACAGGAACGCCAAAGAGCAAAGCACAGCAAAGTTGGTATTAAACAGCACCTCTGTAACAGAGGACTTCCTCCCTCCCTCGTTCCTCGCTCCCTGCCTCGTCCTCCGCCTGTCCTCCTTGCCGCCCCTCCTCCTGCACCAGTTCGTGTCGGCCACGTGTTTTGCGCTTTGTATCTGCACTTGCCGAACGCTCTCTGCATTAGTAGCGTTTGCCGCGCCGCGGTGATCCATCCCATCATGTATCGCGTGCTTCATTCCTTTGCTCCTCCTCTGTTCTGTCGTCCCTCCTTCCTGTCCCTTGCCCCTCCCGCCTCGCATGTGACCGATCGGCGTTGCGTGTGCGACGCTTCTTGCATACCATAACGCTGGCGGTATCGCAATCTGTTCGGCCGCGCAGCGTCCGCTGTGCCCCCGTGTCTCATGCTGAGTGGCTGCGCGGGGGCGCGCCCGTTGTAGGATTATAGCATTGGCTCTTTACGTATCCCCACCAGCCCACCCAGGAACGATGCTTAGGCGAATTGCCATGATCGAGGAAGTAAGGAAGTGTAGAATCATGCAGTGGAAGGAAAGAAGACACTCGTCAGACGAAAGCTCACGATCAGGCTGAGCAGGCCCAAGAGTGAGCTATACCTGTCATGATTGTTCGAAGAAGGATCAGGGGATGAGGAGAGAGAAGAGGAGCGAGGAGGATAGGGGCCCCAAAGGACTCCAAGACTGCACCAAGAGCGCCCCTCCGTAGCCATTGTGTCTCAAGCTGGCACTGTCCTAACGCAGGATTGCGAGCGCTCATTCCGCTTCTGGCTGGGCGCGGGCGACCTGCAACAGAGGAGCTGATCGAGGAGTAGCAGCCGCAGGCTGATGCCGAGGAGCCCGAGGAACCCAAAAAGCAGGAGCTGGAGGAGTTCTGCTTCGATGCTGTTCACAAGGTGAAGGAGAAGGAGGAGGAGAAGGAGGAGGAGGATGAGGAGGAGTCGGACCAGGACCAGAACTAGGAGGGCAAGTTCTTCTTCTTCTCCATTGACAACAGGTTCCACCACGAGGATGCCTTGTTCAGTAAAGGCGCGGCTGGCACATATGAGGTGTCATCGGACTACAAGGATGTAATCTTGAAGTGGGACGATGCGGATCTCCAGCCAGAGACTTTGACCACCGAGGATCTGGGCACATCCTTCCATAACGACGCGGGCTTTGCATTGAGAATGGCGGAGGACCAGAAGCCTCCTGACCGATTCCAGCAGAAATTCCAGGATGTTGATGATGACGGGTGGATCAAGAAGGCATGCTTGGTTTGCTGCCCCGCCAACGTAACGCATCACTGAGAAGGTGAACCAGAGACGTTTGTGCAAAAGATGTAGGATGTCGTGGACGACGCCGTGGATAAGCTTGACGACGCAATCGATACTGTGGGGAGAAGGCGGGGGATGTGCTGGAGGACGTCGCCGAAGCTGGCAGGACATGCAGGAAAGCGTGCTGCGTGTACTGGGGCTGGATGATGAGTTCAAGGGGGTCTCAGACAACAGTTTGGACGACGGTGCACCTAAGGCTCGGACACTGGTCGTCGAAGACGCGGCGACCTTCGTTCCTGCTTTCAAGCAGCTGGACAAGGCCACGCCGTAAGATCTCACAGGGGCGACATCAGAAGGTTGCTCGAACACGATCCTGGGCTTTCGTGATAATATTCACGATTTCTGAGAGGACGTCATTAAATTCCTCGCAGCCGGGATCAGCGGAATTTTGAATTGTCTCTACAAGGTCGTCAGTTGGATATTGCGGGCGTGCAAGGAGGGAGTCAAGTTTGCCGTGGATCTATTGCAGAAGGTCATCCCCGATTGGTGCGAGGCTGCCTACTTGTCTTGCATGGGCCTCGCGGCAAAACTCGCGGAATGCATGACTAGGGTGATGAACAATCTCATCAACATGGTCGAGGATTGCAACAAAGCCGGGCTGACCGCCGTCGGCGTTCTAGGCGACTGGACCATTGAGAAGGTCGATTTCAACGGTGGCAACAAGCCAGACGCCGACAGCACCACTGATGACGACGAGCCGGTGAAGAACAAGCTTAAGAAGAAGAAGAAGAAGGCACGGGAGGCCAGGGGCGAGCCCGCGCCACAGCAGGAATCGATGGGAGGCGAGGAGCTGGTGGTGTGAAGTTTGGTTGCGCGACCACTTCCCGCGTCCTAAGCAATGTTCGCAGACGATGTTCTCATCGGCCACCGCAGTTGTCATCACCGTATTCCTCGTTGTGTTTGGTACCTTGCTCACGAGTGCGTGAGGGTGCTTCTGCGGCCCATACGGGTGGGTCGCCAATGTTTCCGTTTCTTGGGCAAATCTTCGTCTCTGGATGGAGCTCTATGATTGTGTCCAGTTGCACCGCGGTGGCTCCGCCTCAAACAGTGGCTGGCGCCCAAAGAACCAGGCTTGTTTTTCGATAAGACTCCAGCGCGACCTTCACCGCCGCAATCGTGGCCCCGTTGGAGACGGCACGCTCGGCGTTGCAGCCCCGAGGTCGGAGCGCACGGAGCTGGCCCTTGCCACGCCGCGGGCGCGATTCGCACAGCTCGGTCGCCACGGCCGCGCTGAGTCGCCCCGCCAGCTCGCGTGATGGCCCCTTGGCGCAGTGATCGTGTTTGTGCAGGTCGCAGCGTGCGGAAGAGCGCCCCGCTGGACGCCCTGCACTGCGGCTCCCGGCGTGCACCACTGGCGCTTCACGTGTGCAGGAAGGGGATTGTCGCGAGGGTTGCGTTGTGGAGCTCGCTATGGGGCCACGAAACGTGTGAGGGGTGCGCCAACATGGGCGTGGGTGACGCATGCGGGCGGTGGCACGGGGGCCTTCGTTGGAGCTCCCTATGGGGCCACGAAACGCGTGAGGGGCGTGAAGACACGGGTGTGGAGCATGCGCTGATACACCAATGCGTGAAGAAAAAGATAGCTGCCCCAAGAGCGCCCAGGAGCGCTCATTGGGCCTTCTTGGAGCCGCCTTGAGGTTTCCAAGGCCCATCAGAAGCGTAACGGCGAGAGTGTAAGTAACATCGGCCTGATTCAGGCTTTGGAGGGATTGGGGCTTGTCGGGGGGCATCCTTGGGACAAGGCTCCGTGGCCACTTGGAGCCGTCTTGGAGCAGCTTTGGGACCTCTTGGAGCATTTTGGAATATATCTTGAGCCATCTTCGGATAGTTTGACCCATTGTTGATGCCATCTTGGGCTCTCTTGAGCCATATTGGGCCATCTTTGACGCTCTAACTACCTGCCGCCCCCCCCCCCCAAGTCTAGACCCAGGGACGGGGGTCGGGCTTGCAGGGTATTGCAGGATCGGTTTGCAGGGCGTTGCAGGGTGTGGCAGGGGTCTGGTTTGCAGGGTATTGCAGGGTAGTTTTGCAGGCTTCTGTAGGGTCGCGGAGTCGACTCTGCAGGGGGCGCTGCAGGGTACTGTAGGATGTGCATGTGCGGCGAGGTCCAGGGGAGAGGGTAGGAAAAGGGGTTAGATCGGGAAGCTGGTAGGATGTCGATCGTACGCGATGGGTGTGCGTGTGTGTGTGTATGCATGTGTGTGTGTGTTTTGTGTGTTTGTGTGTGAGAGAGCGTGTGCGCGTGCGTGTGCGTGTGCGTGTGTGTGTGCGTGAGCGCGTGTGTGTGCGCGTGTGCGCGTGTGCGCGTCTGCGCGTCTGCGCGTGTGCGCGTCTGCGCGTCTGCGCGTGTGTGCGTGTGTGCGTGTGTGCGTGTGTGCCTGTGTGCGTGTGTGCCTGTGTGCCTGTGTGCCTGTGTGCCTGTGTGCCTGTGTGCCTGTGTGCCTGTGTGCCTGTGTGCCTGTGTGCCTGCGTGCCTGTGTGCCTGTGCCTGTGTGCCTGTGTGCCTGTGTGCGTGTGTGTGTGCGTGTGTGCGTGTGTGCGTGTGTGCGTGTGTGCGTGTGTGCGTGTGTGCGTGTGTGCGTGTGTGCGTGTGTGTGTGTGCGTGTGTGCGTGTGTGTGCGTGTGTGTGTGTGTGTGTGTGTGTGTGTGTGTGTGTGTGTGTGTGTGTGTGTGTGTGTGTGTGTGTGTGTGTGTGCGTGTGCGCGTGTGCGCGCGTGTGTGTGTGTG